AAGAGACACAACTCCGTTAATCCTTTTTCATTAGTTTGTGAAGAGTTATCCCCCTTTGTTTACTTGCTAGCAGACGACATTGTCAGTGATCCTCAGTATGGATGATTTAGAGTAGAGGAAGTTGATTTTAGAGTATTGTAACAAGGACATCAGATCAGCTGAAGTGATTTCAAGTAGAACAGGCATCCCTTTGTCCACTGTTTATCGTGTTTTGAAAAATATTGCAAGGGAGGCGCAGGTAGGCCCAGAAAATTGACTGTCGGTGACAGGAGGCGGCTTGGTATTCTTGTTTCTAAAAACAAACGAAGGAGTTTAGAAAACTTAAGGCAGGATATGATTGATAGAGGAACTGTGGCTGTCTGTAAGGAGACAATTAGAAGTGAGCTGCATGCAATGGGTTGGCAGAAAAGTCGAGGAATTCCATCACCGATCATGAAACCTGAACAAAATGAGCGAAGGTTGAACTGGTGCTTACAGCATAGAAATTGTAACTGGGACAATGTGATTTTCTCAGATGAAAGTTCTGTGTGGCTGTTACCTAATACACTGAATTCTGGACCAAACGAACTGAAAAACCTTTGTATCAGCGCCCAAAGTACAGTCCGAAATTTAACGTGTGGGGTGGCATAACTGTGTTAGGGGCAACGCCCCTCTGTGTATTTGAAGGGAATATGAACAGTGAGCGGTACACAGATATTCTCGAGGGACATTTACTTCCATCTGCTCACGTGTTCTATGGAAACTTTTGGATTTTCCAGCAGGACAACGACCCAAAACATCGTTCAAAGCATTCACAGGCCTGGTTTCGGACCCAAAATATGACATTATTAGATTGGCCAAGCTATAGCCCTGACCTATATCCAAATGAAAGTGTCAATAAGAAACATCTGACAAATATTGCTGAAATGAAAGAAGAGGTGGTCCGATATTGGGACAGCATAAACCACGACTTTCTAACTTCTTTGATCAGTAGCATGCCCCGCCGCATTGAAGCCTGCATTGCTGCCCATGGTGACTTGACAAAATACTAACTGTTCACCTGTCTTTGAATCTGGAGTTATGTTCTGCTAATATTCACATTTAATACGTGAGTATTGAGTGAAAAAAAATAAAATTACAATCTTTAAATTCTCAATAATTTCTGGTTGTACTTGTAATGTCACCTCTATTGATAAAGCACAACGAACATTATGTATACTCTGATCTGATAAATTCATTCCGATGAACATGACGGGAATGAGATCGGGTTAGGACAGTAGCGTGACATTCCCTGTCTGATCTCTCACAGGCCAGAGAACAACTAGTAACCCCAGACTGGTATTATAACTGGACTCATTTGATCTTGTACTTGGTAAACATGTAGGATGGAGGAAAGTCTCACGCAGAAAGACTTTGACTAAGTAAAGCTATAGTCATTACCTTTTTCTCTAAAATAATTCATTCATACCTGAAGAGTGTAGTTGAACGTATCAGTGGAGCGCAATAGTGCAGTTGTAAGGTGTCTGCCTATCACGCTGACGGCCCGGGTTCGATCCCCGGTGGAGGCACCTAGGTTCGGTCCCGGGGCGGCCACATTTGCGTAGTATCCTTTAACAAGATACATGTACTTAGATCCACATTGTCTCAGTTCACCCAGCTGTAAAATGGGTACCCGTGAGGAAGTGCTGGCAATGTGTGTTCTTAGTTCATTGCGCCTAACAGGCAGCATGGCTGTATGATTCCCATGGAGTTGAAAAAGTATCGGTATAGTGTCCTATGACCGGCGATAGTAATGTACGTATAAGCGGACTATTACTATTACTTTCTATACACACTTTAGGAAAACGACGTTTGTGGTGCCCTTAAACCTACAATGGTCTTAAGTGCATAGTAATCATAAATAAACATGAGTGGGCGGAGATTATGTGACCACGTCCATGTATGGATCGCACCGTGATCTACTGCCCCGATCTGATGGCTGGGGGCTCTCAGGTCACTATATCCACAATTATATATTGTCAAACGGGTTCCCGCGTATCTAACATTCAGATATGGTCACCACCCCCAAAGCTATCATGCCTATGTGTACAAAGACGATTATTAATCATGTTTGGATATTCCTTAACTGTTCCTTTTCTGTACACAAATTCATGATTTTTATCCAGTATGCCCGTTTACATGAATATAACTTGGCCCAGATATTTTTTTGCAATGTTTGTAATATTTCATCAATCATGTTCGTACTTCAATTATTACGTAAAAAATACGTAAAACGTTTCTGAGGAGGCTTTATGTGCACAATACCGTGATTACATGTTTTGTGACAGATCCAAGGCTGAAGGATCCGCTGTGTCCTATAGATAGTATCCTTCAGGTGTTCCTTATGTTTTGGCGCGGTATTACATGTACATGGAATTTCCGTTACACTGCGGTTCAGGATACGTAAATTGTAGAAGGGCGGTGTTCATTTTGTTTCTTATTGTATGCAAAGTATGTGGTAAAAACTATCAACATAAATCAACCTCAGTGTAACAAAGTCTTTTGTTGTATACGTTGCACAACAAAGTCGCTTGTCGAACTCCTCATCACAGCTAGACCGCCTCCGTGGTGTAGTGGTTAGAGCGTCCACCCGGAGAGCGGAAGGTCGCGGGTTCGATCCTCGACCGCGTCATACCGAAAGACGTTAAAATATGGTACTTGTTGGTCCCTGCCTGGCGCTCGGCATTAATGGGTACAACAAGGACTGGTCGGCTCGGAGTCAGTATAATGTGTCTGAGTGGGGTATTCATGCTTCACTGCGGCATGGTATCTCAGTGGGCTAGCACTATAAAACCAGCTTCAGTCTGGGCTAGTACAAGCAGCCGCACATACACATACACACGCATGCACGTCGTCATATGAGTGAAATATTCTCAAGTACGACGTTAAACCCAACTTCACTTCACCTCATCAGTACTCGTCTCACAGAAACTACTATAGACCGTTTGCCTCAAAATCGGACCGATGAATTGCAATCTAACTCGAAAACTACTAAACATATAATACTCAATAAAACACTGATCATAGTCAAAACATCAGACCAACTCCGAGATTTTATCGCAGAATTTATGTCCTAAAAATAAAAAAGTTGTTTAACAAACTATCATTAAAATTTTGACAAAAAGTTCACTATTTGTTACGAGGGAGGAGTACAAAGGGAAAACAGCCAGGTGTACGTGTAGCACGTGCACAAGTGTCGACAAGGTAATTGAATAATTTTAGTACCTGTGTTGTGCTGTCTCCATCCTTTCTCGCACACCTGGCTGTTTCTCTCTTTGCACCACTCCCCCGTAACAAATAGTGAAGTGTGTCAAAATTTTAATGATAGTTTGTTTAACTTCTTTATTTTTAGGACATAAATTCTGCAAAAAAAACACAGAGTTGGTCTGATGTTGTGATTATGACCAGTGTTTCATCGAGTACTATATGTTTAGTAGTTTTCGAGTTAGATTGCAATTCATCTGTCCGATTTTGAGCCAAACGAAATATAAGGCGAGCTTCCGTCCCTAGATTGTCACGTGGTTTATGGTCTACCTATGCGTACACTAACGCAGTCTGTCGGATTGCTTTAGAGACACTTCTTGCCCAATGGAAATGTCAAATTGTGGTTGAGGAAATTTTAAAACAACCTTAGGCAATATTCCACGTGCTTGACACATGTTCGCCTATTCTGCTCATTAATACTAGTGATGTTCGACATACATGCACATATTGAAATGAACAAAGTCTGATTCTCATCATCATTCATAGCTTGCAAAGATTGTCTTAATAATGGGCCAGGGAAGTCTCATGTATGATAGGTAAATCAGACCTAAAACAAACCATTCACGCCTGTTGTTGAGTGATGTCCCTTTGTATATGTGTGGTCGTGTGGTGGAGTAAAGACGTGTTACTATTCCGGGTTCGATTCCCCAAATGGGCTACAATGTGTGAAGCCCATTTCTGGTGTCCCCCGCCATGTTATTGCTGGAATTTTGCTAAAAGCGGCGTAAAACCATACTCACTCACCAACTCACTCAGTCTCTGATACTATTCAGATATGTTAACAAAACAGGAAGACAGCTTATCACGATCACGATGTTTATTTAAACAATGAAAAAATGAAGACACATTGTTATAACTCTATTTACAAATGTGGGGTATGAATTACAAAAACAATGAAACAATTCTTTCATCGAGTGATTAAATTATGTACATTCAGAATATTTACATCATGGAAAATATAAATAATAAACAGATAAATCAGTGCTCTCGTTTGTGACGTTTGAAGCGATGCCTATCACATGATGTAAGGAGCTTCATATGTCATCTCATGGCCCGCTGATCATTGTGTGTTTAGATCTCCCATACATCATCCGATGTTGTCAGTGACGAAGTGCTCGTGGCTCCAGGAAATTAACCTGCTGTCTAACATCAAGTCACAAGTCCACGCGAGCAGCTACGGAAGCAAGTTCTGGAAGGTGAAGAAGAAATTTATGACAACTTAATAGAGTGTATGGCGCAGTGCACGACATTAATTAGACATGAAAGCAATTTCAAATACATTATTAAATTAAATGATATAATGTGTTCATTAATCATCACTGATACATGTACATTCACACGTAACAGTGTGACATTGATGATAAGAAACAACATGGTGATTTAGTGACAGATGCTTCCTTTACGTTCGGCATTATTGTTTTTCACATACAAGAAGATGAAATGTCTGCACTAAATTCTGCTAGGGAATTATGATGACTACAGTCGTGTTAACCATATAGATCAGCACCTTACCCACGTGGACTTCACATCTACCAAATATACACTGGCGCACAACCAACGTGAATTTCACAAGTAGTAATAGCCGAAGCCCGGGTTCGATTCCCCACATGGGTACAATGTGTGAAGCCCATTTCTGCCCTGAGGTTGCTGGAATATTGCTAAAAGCGGCGTAAAACCACACTCACTCACTCACTCACTCAATAGGCAGTAATATTTACCTAAGTTGATGTCTCATCTTCGTTGGTGAGAAGGGCTGCTCCATTGCTGCTTTCTACCATATTCTGGGCACCATTTAAATTCGTCATGTCGTACCGGACGCCGGTGTTGAGGGAGAGAGGGTTTGGGGCGGGTCGTTCTGAAGACTTGCGTTTCGAGATCCCTGTTGTATCAAGTTTCTGGGTGCTGCCGGCGTACTGAGAGAGTTCCTTTGCACTGTGACGTAGGTTCTGACAATACACAACGTCGTCAAACCCGGTGAAGTCAATATGCCACCTTTTCATACCCAGATCGTATTCTTCGACTCTCTCGAATCTGTGACCCCAAAGGATTTCCTTAGGGCCGTACGAGGTCCTGGCTTGACACACCTCCCCGGTAGCTTCAACTGTTCCCTCCAGGAAGATCAGGAGCTCGTACTTCTCCGAACAAAGATCGGCTGGCTTGATGTCCCAGAAAGGACTGTTGTCGTCGATCTTATGGGTGATGATGAGGGGCCAGAGGAGGAAGATCCTGTCGCCCATTCCATTCGCCTCCATCTCGACCTCGTACTGGAACAGTGGGTACACAGCGCCCTCTTCTGTCGTTTTCTTGCGAACCATTATGGCAGTAAGGTGAGCGTCCACAAGATGTGTTTTCCTCAAATCTCCCACTCTGATCTGCAAACAGAGTTGGCCGTTTTCCTGGCAAACCACAGCGTTCTTGCTAAAGATGATGGTATTAGCACGGTATTTAGGGCGGGCTATTTTCACAAAGATGAAGCCAAGGAGCACTGTCTCTAAGAAAAATCCCAGCGTGACTTGCAGATAGATTAAGGGTAATGTTCCAGCACAGTGCGCGTTAGGGTAAGCATACCCGTATCCAATTGTCGTCTGCGTTTCAATGGAGAACAGAACCGCGCCAGCGAACGACTTGACGCCTAGCAGACATGGAATGTGATCCGGATTGTCCAGGTTGGCGAAGTCGTCATTGTTGTAGGCCATGAGCCACCAGAAGAACGCAAACACCAAGTACGTCACAAGGAAGACGTTGAACAGTACCGCAATAGCATACCTCCATTCCAGGTCGATCAACGTGATGTAAATATCAGCCACATATTTCCTCCGATGTTCGCTCAGCCCTGTATAGGTGATCCTATAGCCTCCTTTCTTCTTCAGTAAAGCTTTACGCTCTTCTTCAGGGTCGTCCTTCCGGCATAGAAGTTTGCTCCTGAAGAATTCCACGAAAGCACTTCGGGGTGGTGGTGCCGGCTTTCGTTCAGTAAACATGAAAATACTTGCTGCCGATTCCTCGGAATTCATGTTAGTCACTGATATCAGTCTATCACGGCAACAATGTCAACTCACTGTCTGGGGTTCACTACTTCTAACTACTGCTGCCACACTTCAGATGGACACCGCCGCAATGTCCAGATCTCGTGGTTGAAGGCTGAAGCACGAAGGAAGATATGCTGGGTGAAGTGAGGACGCGACCCTATACACCCTTCTCCTGACAAAAGGGGGCGGGGCTTATCCAACTCGTCACCAATACGCTGAACGTATGATCCACAGGGAAGAACAATGGCGCCTGTGACTGATCGACTCCCTGTCAGTGATAGCCGCGGGTGGGGGTTATAGCACTTCAGGCTTCACTGACTGTCGTCTGCTGCCATACCTATGTCTTATACTTAGCCGATTCCGACACGAATTGTGATAGATTGAGGGCATAAAACATAACGTGACAGAATGTTCTGGTCCTCCTTTGTAATGATAAAGTTTCATGTGAATCCAAATATCGGTTATGGGGTTTGATGTGTAGCCCAACTGAACTAGATTCCTTCAGAGCCAATAAGTCTTTGTTGATCGGGGCATTCACTCTTTTCACCCCAAAACAACTTCTTACAGATATCATACTTATATAAATATTGCAATTAGCTATCCAGGCGTCGTAAAATAAATATCCAAAGACTCTTCCATAATATATAAACATTTATTATGGTTCATTTGATCATCTTTCAACTTCAACTGATTCTGGGAGTCGGGCAATCGTGTCTTTGTGACCGTACGCTCTTACTTAAATAGTGAACTGCGTCATGTCTGATGAAACAACACCATCGTTACTCCACAATGTAACATTTATTTGGAACAAATCAGTGATGTTAGTCCAAATACAACTGTTTCCTAACTCCGTAGCTGTTATAGGGTGCACACATATATGAAATAAACAATGCCATTTAGAAAGTGGTCAAATTTAACATATGTTATTTTTGGGATTACACTTTCTTTGTAAAGTACAGATTCTAGTACTTTTGGTGGGTTGAGTCCCATCCGGGATTCGATTTTATACACGGAACACAAACCACAGAGAACACAAACCACATACACCCGGATGGGACTCAACCCACCAAAAGTACTAGAATCTGTACTTTATAACTGACTGACTGAGTTTGTTTTTACGCCGCTTTTAGCAATATTCCACCAACATCACGGCGGGGGACACCAGAAATAGGCTTCACACATTGTGCCCATGTGGGGATTCGAACCCGGATCTTCAGCGTGACGAGCCAACGCTTTAACCATTAGGCTACCCCACCGCCCCTGTACTTTACAAAGAAAGTGTAATCCCAAATATAACATATGTTACACACATATAGTCTTTAAGAAATGTCTGGTGTCATGTCAAGGCATGTTTCCATCTTCCTACAGATCGGTTTCCGTGACCAGTAACGTTTTACCACACGTCACTTTGTAATGGCGGAATGTTGTGTCGTTTTGAACAGTCAGATGCCGAGACATATGCGCCCATTTTAAATACTTTTAGATCTTCTGAAAGTATGGTTCAACTTGTCTAGCCCAGAATGAAAACCAAGTTCTATGGATAGTCAAGTTCCTTATTGCAGTGAATGCGACGTGTCGGTGTAGGTACTAACACTGTTATCAAGCAGTGATGAGAGCAGATCAGTGGTAACGGTGTTAGTACCAACATCGAAACGTCACACTCACTGCAATAAAGAACTTGACTATCCAAGGAACTTGGTTTTCCTTCACCTATACAACTCCTAAAATGCTTCTCAAAGAAGTTTGTCTCGCCCCGTATTGTTAAACAACTAGTAAAACCCGCACTCTTTGCCTCGAATGAGAAAAAAGCATATGTATCATGGGGATTAGGTATTTTATATAATTGTTGATACTTTATTATATTGTGATAACCATTTGTGTTAATATTCCCAGTTTGGTTTCATGTAATGATCCGAAACGGGTTAGTTATTATTTGCAGGTATTTTTATCACTGCATGACATAAATAGAGAATATCTGTCTCTCACCTCCCCTTCTCTCTCATGTAGTTGCATATATCAGAAAGTGGTTGCAACTCCTCTAATAACTGTGTTTATAACAGTGTAGTTGTATATATCAGAAAGTGGTTGCAACTCCTCTAATAACTGTGTTTATAACAGTGTAGTTGTATATATCAGAAAGTGGTTGCAACTCCTCTAATAACTGTGTTTATAACAGTGTAGTTGCATATATCAGAAAGTGGTTGCAACTCCTCTAATAACTGTGTTTATAACAGTGTAGTTGTATATATCAGAAAGTGGTTGCAACTCCTCTAATAACTGTGTTTATAACAGTGTAGTTGTATATAGATAAGTGATAGACATTTAGTGATAGTGTCTCGTATATTAATGGCAAATTGGTTACATGTCATATAGTGACAGTAAATCATACGATAGTAATATATCCTATATATTACAATATGTCATATGGCTGTAGAATACCATTTTGTTATGATATATAATTTAGTTATCTTCCTCAGGGAGCTGAGAATGAAAATCGAGTGCCAGTTGCTCCATTGACCCAGGTAATAATGTAGAACGTTGAGCATGGTTTGGGGCCTTGAATTTGGCGAATTATAAATGTGTACATTATAATTATCATTGAAATCACATGGCAGTTGTACACCATTTGGTCATAATATATCATTTATTTGTAGCAAATCATATTGTTAATATGTATCAAAGTTTTGTTACGTGTGCAAATATCGTCTAGTCATTACAAAACGAGAACCGCAATGATGCCGCCCTGTTTTTCTTAATACATGGCATTAAGTGCGACTTGTATCAGTATGTTCTCAGGGAGACGTTAGAGACAAATCAAAAATGTTTCAGTGTTGTTTCTATATAAAATGAGATATTTTTCAAACGTGTTTTTATTGTAAACACTGTGTTGAAGACGAAGTTCATGTTTTAATTAATTGTCCGGTTTATAGTGATGAACGTTTTAGTCTTTTAAATACTTGTGATAGCCATATCTGTTTTATAGCTGCCAAAACCTGCCATGTTGTTTTAAAAAGGAGAAAATCCGTATTATATAACTTTTAATTATTGTTACTCATAATACATGTACATGCAATTTTTAAAGAATTTTAGTCTCTCATAATTCCGTATGGAATGGCCCTTATGTAAATATATGTTTAATTAGTTTGTATATATGTATAACAGGGGTGAGACTTAAATAAATAATCTGTCTGTCTGTCTATCTGTCTGTCTGTCTGTTAAAGTAACTCATCGAGTGAGTCAGGCTTTTCTCCCAAGGGTGAAGTAGTTCCACGGACAAAGTCAGTCACACGTCACAACGCCTTCTTATAGATAATAAATCTGACACAGTCCGCCTGTAAGACGAACGTCTCACGAACAATACCCGAATAAACAACAATGATGCTTCGGCTGTCATACCTCACACTGGCTTAAGCCATCAATTCTTTGATGACGTCACACGGACGCACCAAGTGCGAGGGGGACCCCGGGGCCACAGAGAAAACAATACCTTGATAGGGTGATGGATTACACTGTCAGCGACTAACACAACATTGTCCTGGACAGGCTTATAATTAATGGCAGTTTTATATAATCGTAATGTAATTACTTTCTTTCTATCTAGCGGCAACTTTAAGACAAACATATTGTTATAATTTATGGTTTAAATAATGTTCAATGTTGTATATTTTGGGGAGCCTATATTTTAGTTAACGACATATTTGGTTAAGTTTGTTTGGAGGAAATACAGGACATCTTGTCAGATAAGGATGGGTGCTCGCCGAACATACGACTGAACACTGCCTCGCCGTGATGTTGCTGTACTAGAGTGGAGTTTGAAACCCTTCACTCACTCATCAAACTAGAGTATCAGTTCATTAAACAAAATATTTCTTCGTTGGGCACATTTGCATTCCACATTCTTTTAAACATTCAAACCGTCGAAAGTAAACAAATATATGCACATTCGTTGTCCGGGTATTTTATTGGTGAATTAGTCCCACACGGCATCCAGTTAAAGATCTGCATTCCCGAAGATGTATATGATATGTGGGTATTGCAGTTATTGGTGCCAGTATATGCAAAAGGAAACAAATAAAAAGCGTCGATCATATCCCCCTCACATGTTTTTAGATTAACACTTAATCCCGAAGGTGCCTTACAAATCAAAATCATACTCTGTCACCTAACTCGTCCCCGTGAAATCAGATTCTACAATACGTCATCTCCTTGACGCCGATACACCTATCCAATGCATGCATTCATAGTGAATTCAATGCTATTTTACGCCAGTCGACAGACTGGATATAGGGAGTAATTGTAAAACGTTTACACCACCTTGTTCACAAATAATTTATCCTTAAGTACAACAAATGATCCGATTGAACGTTATGAACTCGTAGCCATTAGGGCTGCGCAATATAACCGGTTTACCGGTATTTACCGGTTCAGACATGAAAACGATACGTATTGCGATACGCTGATCGAAAACCGGTATTTTGACTTGCATTCGGAAAACTTCGTAACACTCGGAAATGTTCGGATATGTCCTTGTTTCATTTGTGCCAAATATTCTTCACATTTTGTATTTTATCATGATTAAAAGTTGTTATTAAAGCTTAATCAAGCCTTGTGATTTTGTTGTGTTTTTTGCTCTATAAATCAAGAAGTAACTCGATTATAAATAGTTTTTGTATAAAAATACTTCATGCAATATATTGCAATACATATCGCAATACATGCTTTCGCATCGCAATATATCGCAATATGAAAATTCTCTGCAATACCCACCCCTAGTAGCCATAGAAGTAAATATTATTGTATGCCAAGGCAGTAAATTTCACCCATTCGTGGTTTCAACCCTTTCATCTTACATAGCTACATTTACAAAATACAGGTTTGGCTGTATTCAACAGTGAATGATCAGTGGTATTCTGTTATTCCGTGGAGGCCAAAGCACCATGGCACTTGAGTAGACGGTTATGACGACTTGTATTAGAGGTCATCAGATCTGGGGCAGTGAGGTGGATCAGTACATAGTCACAGCTACAGTACACCATGAGTGCAGTGAGGGTCGACATCGAGCGTCTGTACTAACTGTCTCAACCCATGTTAACCTTTGCCAGCAGTACTAACAGGTTCGTCAAACACAATCATGGGTACTCCGCTAGCAGGCTGGATGAACGGATGAACGTGCGGAATTTGTCGCCATAGGATATACCAAATTATACAACACGGGTAGCTGTAACTAACCCATGACCCACAATCCATAATTGCTAATAGATTCTAGTGACACAAATATACACTATTCATATAAGCTTAAGATAGCATGAAAACTGTTATACAATTACAGGTACGGTATGGTAGCCTAATGGTTAGGAAGACCCAGGTTCGATTCCCCACATGGGTACAATGTGTGAAGCCCATTTCTGGTGTCCCCGCCGTGATATTGCTGGAATATTGCTAAAAGCGGCGTAAAACCATACTCACTCACTATACAATTACATTCTTGCTTAAGTCACAAGTGATAATTCATAAAAAGAATTTCATTTCTAAAAGAAGATTGAAATTCAGACTTTTGAATCTGTAAACAAGGTCAAAAGGCCATAAATTTGGCAACAGCACAAATAGTTATATAATCTGTGTTACTATAAGCAGTTAGAATGGTGCTGGTATCATATGCGATATATTCATGAAGTAGAAAACGTTTGTTACCACTATGAATTTGTATACACTACCCATCAAAAGTTTAGACTCACTTTAAGCAGTCACTATGTTGTGTATATATATGTATGGTTACATCGAAGATGAATATCTCCCCTAACTTTGGGGAACCAACTGCAAACCTTATGCAGATGAATTGCACGAAGATCACACATCAAATTGCTGGAAAGCATGTGCAAACATCGTGCATGTGAACAGCTGCGTTTTGGTGTAAAGTTTTGTTAAAAATTCGCCAATTTTCGCTGATTTTTATCATTTATTGAACTCACGACAATAATTTTTTCAATGTTACGAATTTGCTTTACAATACATCAGTTCATGTGTAAACAGTACCTTTAAACAGTATGGACTATTCTGCAACATCTAGTTTAGAACAGTTGACTGAAGTAAGTGGCCACATTTACACTAGTGAGTCTAAACCTTTAATGGGTAGTATATGTGAATGGCCACCGCGGCTGTAGGGAGTACATCACTCAGACCTTATGTTACCTAAAGGGGAATGTCGAAGTGCCTCTCCAGTCCTGAAAAATAATGAAGCCGAGGTCCCGCAGGGTTCGAATCCCATTATGGATTTATGTTATGAGGATATCCCCCTACTTAAATTATACTTTATGTGACTTTATGTAAAACATTTTTGCTACGTTTCATACATCCTAATGCATAAAGTTATTGCGAAAACTATATGTAAAACTAATAATCGCTTAGAAGCAGCCAGTCCGTACCCGCCCGCCCGCTTCAACACACAGAACACGGCAGGTATGGCATGGGGTGTATCACACGAATTAGTTTAAAAATAGAACCCATCTGTCAAGTCCTGTCAAAATAGAACAGTTCACAAAGTAACAGCATGGTTTGAACAGACATTTTGTGTGCAATGTTTTTGCCACAGTTGTCAGTCTTCAAATAACATAAAATCGGCCTGTAAACAGGGAGGGACTCTTAAACGGCAGTAACAGGGCTGACAGCGTGTAACGAGTACAGGTCGGGCTGCTTCTTGGCCAGTTCACCTTGTGTGACCTATCTTCATATTGTAATCAGTCACTTCACCTTGTGTGACCTATCTTCATTGTAATCAGTCACTTCACCTTGTGTGACCTATCTTCATTGTAATCAGTCACTTCACCTTGTGTGACCTATCCTCATTGTAATCAGTCACTTCACCTTGTGTGACCTATCTTCATTGTAATCAGTCACTTCACCTTGTGTGACCTATCCTCATTGTAATCAGTCACTTCACCTTGTGTGACCTATCTTCATATTGTAATCAGTCACTTCACCTTGTGTGACCTATCCTCATTGTAATCAGTCACTTCACCTTGTGTGACCTATCTTCATTGTAATCAGTCACTTCACCTTGTGTGACCTATCTTCATTGTAATCAGTCACTTCACCTTGTGTGACCTATCCTCATTGTAATGAGTCACTTCACCTTGTGTGACCTATCTTCATTGTAATCAGTCACTTCACCTTGTGTGACCTATCTTCATTGTAATCAGTCACTTCACCTTGTGTGACCTATCTTCATTGTAATCAGTCACTTCACCTTGTGTGACCTATCTTCATTGTAATCAGTCACTTCACCTTGTGTGACCTATCTTCATTGTAATCAGTCACTTCACCTTGTGTGACCTATCCTCATTCTAATCAGTTCAACTACTGTGACTTATTTTCATTGTAAGCAATTCTTACAAGTCACGTTGGGAGCTGGGAGGTTACTATGACCCGTAACTCCCACTTATACAGAGAGTATTTGGCATCGTCACATTAATTCACATTCGTGCTTCGATACAACCTGGATACATATACACCATGTTATGTACTCGTAGAAACTATATCAGGTCTGGTGCCCTGTAATTTCTACAAATGTGGAATCAGTTTCTAATAACATCATCCATGTGGCATGATGTGGTCAGCGAACTTATGGAGCGCGTTTGTTGTAATTATATACACCTTTGTCATATCATATATTATTCTGTCCAGTTTAACATACGCAATCACGTAGGATCGTCTCATGTGAACGGTGTTAGTTGTAATAGATCTCAATAATTATGCTTTAATTACAATAGTATGCCTACATATGTCGTGAAATTGTCAAACAGGTACTTTCACGAAATGAAATGTACAAGTTATGAAAAATCATTATTATATGCGTACTATTAAAGTGTATTATTGACAATAAATATACTGCCCGATAAATATATATTAGTTGCCGATATCTATATAGCTATATCATATGTATTCGGTAACAGATGCATGTACATAGAAAACGCAATTATGAATAGCTCTGGCAAAAGGTTATTCTGGGACACTCGCGTCAGGTTGAAATTTGGAGAAAAAATATCACTAAAAACGGTTGAAATATCACTAAAAAGTATTTTCATTGCTGTATAGTAACATCCGAGCTTATGTGGCAGTTGATGTGTCATGCATGCTTTTTGACATTTTCGTTGTATTTCACCAGGCAACTGCCGGGGGCCTTTGCGACTCTTTCAGAAAGCTGTCAGGCCTCGGTGATCAATCGCCCCGGGTCATCCGAGGGCACCACTTGACAGGGAGCAGTACCTATTGTTACCTATCTCGCTCATAATTAACCCATATGTATGGACGAGCTCCTTCAACCAATCACACTGCTTCTCGCGATCGTCTGCTTCTGGCGGTCGGGGCTGACACTTTATGGAGCGTCTGCCTTCTCAGACAACATATCGAGGTGATGACTGCGAGAGGGAAGGTGGCCAGATAAACAAGATTTAATCATCCATACCCGAAATGGCGACCAGCGACAATCTACATATGTTTCAAGATCACCCTCGATGGGAAGAATACAAGTTTGAGAAGCTGCGGCCGTCCACGTCGTCATCTTCACCGGGGAAGAGGGTGAAGAGGAGGTACCAACCACGTCGGTCGTTGGTGCGGAAGGAAGGCAAGAGCAACGTTGCTTACAGAGGCATCAAGAATAAGGGACTGCATTATGTGAAGGACTTCTACAATAGCTTACTTGATCTAAAATGGCGGTATGCATTTTTGGTACTGTTTGGTGGTTTCTTAGCGTCATACCTAACTTTCGCCATCTTATACTGGGTGTTAGGCTACATACACGGTGACTTCCATAACCTCCACAACCCAGAGTGGGTGCCATGCTTTATGAGGGTCACGTCTTTCTGGGACAGTCTGTTATTCTCGATCGAGACCCAGTCGACAGTTGGGTATGGAACGCTGTACCCGTCCCCAGAGTGTGGGGTTGCCAACATCCCTCTCGTGTTCCTGCAGATGACCCTCGGCGTCCTCCTGGAGGCCGTCATACTCGGCATGGTGTTTGTGAAGATTGCTCGGCCGAAGAACAGATGTCAGACGATCATGTTCAGCAGAAGCGTGTGCGTCTGTCAGGAAGACGGCGCGATGTGCCTACAGGTCCGTGTGGGCGATATCAGAAGTAAGACCCATCTCATCGACGCTAGTGTGTATGGAATGGTTGTCCAGAAGCACATATGCAAGGAGAAGTACGTGTATCCGTTGTTCCAGCATAAAATCGAACTCAAATCGCACGGCATTAAAGACAAAATCTTCCTCATCTGGCCCATGGTGCTGTCTCACAGGATCACCGAAGACAGCCCATTGTGGAGTATCAGACCCGAGGACCTGTTCCTGGACAAGTTCGAGATTATCTTCTTCTTGGAAGGGACTATCGAGACGACAGGGGAGCTGTTGCAGTCGCGGACCTCGTACTCAGCTTCCGAGATTCTCTGGGGTCACAGGTTTGCCAAGATCGAAGAATACGATGAAAGAAGCAACGCATGGTGCATTGACTTTGTCCGCTTCGACAACGTGGTCCCAAGTCAGACACCCAAGTGCAGTGCCAAAGAAGCTAAACTGTTGTACAAAGGTACAGGCATTTTCAGGAATCGCGAAAAAGGGGACAGCGGAAAAAGACGAGCCCAAAGCGAGACTGACGACATCGACTCGGTATCTGTAGCGTCCATCGACTCCTATGGGACGGCGTCAGAATCTCATAGCGACGACAACGACTGCGACAAAACAAGGTACGTCTACTTCATCAAATCTTTGTGGCGAGTCATACACATTTTAACGAATCAATCTTTAATTGACATACGCTCATGTAATATGTCTTCTTTTTAAGCAATGTCCAGATGTGTTCATATCATTTGTTTATGGAACAGTTTTGTAAGTGATCAGTACTGATAGACGAATAAGCTGTGTTACGGGGTCCCACTTCTGTGAGAGATTATCAATCCTAACAATTGTTCTACAATAATCGCTGCGAAATAACCTATGTTTTGAAGTACATTTATAGAATCACGCTGTAACGGTTCTATACGAGAACACTGATAGAATGAATACCTTGTTCAGTAATAATACGTTATATATTATACATTTAACAAATATGTGTGTCCTTAATAAGTTTTTGTCTTATTTCAGACGCCAGTCAACAGCGAGCTTATAGAGGGCAATACTAGAGAAATCTGCTATTTCAGACAGTGTTCAGAGATCATACGCTGTTCGTTATATTCAAAAACATATCATTCATTGTAAACGATAAATCAGTGCGTACTTAGTTTCCAGGAACACAGAATTCGACATTTTATGTTTAGAAAATGGTCCTTCAATGAGTATATTTATTGTAAATATTCTTAGCATCCATTGTATATATACATGTATCGTATGCCTTTATTCATGTCTCAATTCTCACATCTACGTTTGTTGAATAAATTCATGTGTGATATGTCTCCTGAGTGTTCGGGCTGTGTGTATACTGGAGTGTACCGAACGTCAACAACGGTTTGGCTTCGTAAAACTAAATACCCAATTAGGGACCGTTCATAATTTATGGCTGAGGTGGGTGGGGCGTTGATGAAGATTTTAAGGGGGAGATTTCAGCCAGTTTGATCTTGGGGGTGGGATGAGAGAGAGAGAGAGAGAGAGAGAGAGAGAGGGGAGAGAGAGAGAGACAGAGAGAGAGAGAGAGAGAGAGAGAGAGAGAGAGAGAGAGAGGGAGAGAGAGAGAGAGACACACACACAGAGAGAGGGAGGGAGAGAGAGAGAGAGAGAGAGAGAGAGATATCGTGGCTATTGTAAGGAAGCGGAACTCCGGGCTTGTTTCACGAGATACAGGTACATTAGGCTTGTGAGGTTTTACGCAACTGTTAGCGAGATTGGGGGCCCTGTACAACATACCCATTTATGGAATCGAACCCAGGCCTTGCGTTTTAGCCACTATATTACTCGCTACTGGAATCAGAAACACGACATTGCGCGTCGATTAAGTAATTAACATAACTGCCTACATACTAATGCCTACACAGGAACCTTAAACAAGACCTGTCAACTATATCCTTGACTTTTTCGGATTTTATCAAAGCGCCAGTGAGCACCTATTGTTGGATACTAGGCGCTATATAAATCATTATTCTTCTTATCTGCACAGAAAATCCTAGCTCCTAAGTCGAGTGGGCACCCTGGACCCCCGACAGTAATTATAGAACAGTTTCACCGTGGATACGTTAGATTATGATATCATAGAGGAGATATAAAGAGAAAAGTGTACTTAATATCTTGGAAAATTGTAGCTAAACGTGCAGCTTTCAGAGTAAACATTATCTTTATCAACCATTGTCGGTAGTTTTATGTCCTGTCTAATATATGTGTTTGGCGTGAACAGTCATGGATATCTCCAGATGATTGACTCTGTGACGTTGACAGACTCTTTGACGGACTGATTGACTGTGTATTTACCCAGGTGTTTTGCATTGTTCGGGGTCATCGCGTACAGTGGTACTGCTCACCCATCTCACAAGTTAGCAATCTACCTTCCCAGCTGTAATTTGGGGGCCCCGTTCCTGTTTTAGTCACGCCTTCTGAGTTGCCAGACAAACAAAGTGTCTTCTGAAACACTTGTATGGACCGTTCCCTATTGTCCAGGAATAGAGTATTTTACACATGTTACATTTCGGACTTTCTCAGTAAAGTACAGATTCTAGTACTTTTATTGGTCTGAGTCCTATCCGGGATTCGATCTCACACCATCAAAGCCAAGCACCTATTTATAAAAAATGGACGTCGCACAATGGACCACGGACTTTGTGTTCCACTGATAACTTTTCCGACTATTGCGTGCTGGCGATTAGGTGCCTGACTCTGAGGGTGTGGGTTCGAATCCCGGAAGGGACTCAATCCAACACAAGTACTAGAACCTGTACTTTACTGAGAAAGTGTAATCCTAATGATAACAGGTGTTACAGTTGACTACATTCTAAATGGCATTGTGTATTCATCATCTGGGATTTATTAAATATATTCCGTTTATAAGATGATGTACGGCATGGAGTGTTGACTTAGTTCTGCCAATACAAGCAATGGTGTGCAGTTACAGGTTAACCGAGATAAGTCTGTGATGCCGATGGAATATATCATGTTGTTCTGACCAAGGGTGCTGAGAAATGTGTTTTCACAACTATTAAAAAGGACATTTCACACTGTCACGCACCCTCATGTTTAACTTAAATTGCTGGGAAAAAACAAAAGCGAAAAATGTGAAAACTGGATTTGACCAATTACCATGTTTGTGTTACACTGGTGGTACACAGGGATGTTTGTGTTACACTGGTGCTACACAGGGATGTTGGTGTTACACGGATGCTACACAGGGATGTTCGTGTTACACGGGTGCTCCACAGGGATGTTTGTGTTACACGGGCTCTCTACAGGGATGTTGGTGTTACACGGGGGCTACACAGGGATGTTGGTGTTACACGGGTGCTCCACAGGGATGTTAGTGTTAAACGGGTGCTACACAGGGATGTTGGTGTTACACGGGGGCTACACAGGGATGTTGGTGTTACACGGGGGCTACACAGGGATGTTGGTGTTACACGGGGGCTACACAGGGATGTTGGTGATACACGGGTGCTCCACAGGGATGTTAGTGTTACACGGGTGCTACACAGGGATGTTGGTGTTACACGGGGGCTACACAGGGATGTTAGTGTTACACGGGTGCTCCACAGGGATGTTAGTGTTACACGGGTGCTACACAGGGATGTTAGTGTTACACGGGGGCTACACAGGGATGTTGGTGTTACACGGGTGCTCCATAGTGATGTTAGTGTTACACTGGTGCTACACAGGGATGTTAGTGTTACACGGGTGCTCCACAGGGATGTTAGTGTTACACGGGTGCTCCACAGAGATGTTAGTGTTACACGGATGCTACACAGGGATGTTGGTGTTACACGGGTGCTCCATAGTGATGTTAGTGTTACACTGGTGCTACACAGGGATGTTGGTGTTACACGGGTGCTACACAGGGATGTTAGTGTTACACGGGTGCTCCACGGGGATGTTGGTGTTACACTGGTGCTCCACGGGGATGTTAGTGTTACACGGGTGCTACACAGGGATGTTGGTGTTACACGGATGCTACACAGGGATGTTAGTGTTACACGGGTGCTCCACAGGGATGTTAGTGTTACACGGGTGCTAAACAGGGATGTTGGTGTTACACGGATGCTACACAAGGATGTTGGTGTTACGTGAGTGCTCCACAGGGATGTTAGTGTTACACGGGTGCTAAACAGGGATGTTAGTGTTACACGGATGCTACACAAGGATGTTGGTGTTACGTGAGTGCTCCACAGGGATGTCAGTGTTACACGGATGCTACATAGGGATGTTAGTGTTACACGAGTGCCTCACAGGGATGTTAGTGTTACACGAGTGCCTCACAGGGATGTTGGTGTTACACGAGTGCCTCACAGGGATGTTATTGTTACACTGGTGCTACACAGGGATGGTAGTGTTACACGGGTGCTACACAGGGATGTCAGTGTTACACGGGTGTTACACAGGGATGTTAGTGTTACACGGGTGCTACACTGGGATGTTGGTGTTACACTGGTGCTCCAAAGGGATGTTGGTGTTACACTGGTGCTACACAGGGATGTTGGTGTTACACGGGTGCTCCACAGGGATGTTAGTGTTACACGGGTGCTCCACGGGGATGTTGGTGTTACACGGGTGCTCCACAGGGATGTTAGTGTTACACGGGTGCTACACAGGGATGTTAGTGTTACACGGGTGCTACACCGGGATGTTGGTGTTACACTGGTGCTCCAAAGGGATGTCAGTGTTACACGGGTGCTACACAGGGATGTTGGTGTTACACGGGTGCTAAACAGGGATGTTAGTGTTACACGGGTGCTACACAGGGATGTTAGTGTTACACGGGTGCTCCACAGGGATGTCAGTGTTACACGGATGCTACACAGGGATGTTAGTGTTACACGAGTGCCTCACAGGGATGTTAGTGTTACACGGGTGCTACACAGGGATGATACTGTTACATGGGTGCTCCACAGGGATGTTAGTGTTACACTGGTGCTGCACAGGGATGTTAGTGTTACACGGGTGCTACATAGGGATGTTGGTGTTACACGGGTGCTCCGTCGGGATGTTGGTGTTACACGGGTGCTCCAAAGGGATGTTAGTGTTACACTGGTGCTAAACAGGGATGTTAGTGTTACACTGGTGCTACACAGGGATGTTAGTGTTACACGGGTGCTACACAGGGATGTTGGTGTTACACGGGTGCTACAAAGGGATGTTGGTGTTACACGGGCTCTCCACAGGGATGTTAGTGTAACACTGGTGCTCCACAGGGATGTTAGTGTTACACTGGTGCTCCACAGGGATGTTGGTGTTACACTGGTGCTACACAGGGATGTTGGTGTTACACGGATGCTACACAGGGATGTTGGAGTTACACGGGTGCTCCACCGGGATGTTGGTGTTACACGGGTGCTCCACAGGGATGTAAGTGTTACACTGGTGCTACACAGGGATGTTGGTGTTACACGGATGCTACACAGGGATGTTTGTGTTACACGGGTGCTCCAAAGGGATGTTATTGTAACACTGGTGCTCCACGGGGATGTTAGTGTTACACGGGTGCTACACAGGGATCTTAGTAGTACACGGGTGCTCCACAGGGATGTTAGTGTTACACGGATGCTACACAAGGATGTTAGTGTTACACTGGTGCTCCACAGGGATGCCAGTGTTACACGGGTGCTACACAGGGATGTTGGTGTTACACGGGTCGTGGAACCTATGTGAGACGTGTGTGCTTCGAATCAATAGGTCTTCACGTGTGAGTAGCTCTATGGGAAGCGTCTACAATTTGATTGTTTTGCTGAAAACGTTGCCGTATAGACTGTAGGTGGTGGTGTAGACTCTAGGGCGGCAGTTTAAGATGCAGAAAGTTGGGATGTTTTTTTTTCTAATAAGAGAAAGTAGGGCTGTGCTTTAAGTCCGAGAAAGTTATAATGTTATTTATGCTTGAAAATGCGACTAATGGCACACCCATTGTGTATTGTCAAACAGGTAAAGCACGGCATCACAAATCGAAAGGGGCACCGTTCTGATCATAGGAGGTAGAGGTTATCAAATATGATAACTACAAGAAAACCATCCTAACCTAACAACCATGCAACAACCATGCAACGTATTTGAACAAACACTGTTCACAGTTCCTCAACATGGACTGCAACCATCAAGGAGTCCGAGATGTCAGTGTCACATATATAAAACCCACCCATTTTCCAGGTTGTACGGTATATAGCATTGCCCTACGCCAAGCAGAGGAGGTCAGTCCGTTAGATTCTGCTGGTGAGACACCATGGCTGGACAAGTGTGTGCAGCGGTTCTGCTAATACTGCTCCATCTCCACAAGGCTACATCTCACGCCGACAACTACGACTACATTCAGACACTTCTCCAACGCATTGAAGATGTCGAGGAGGACATGGACGACGGTCTGGACAGAGTAGAGAACGATGTTGTCACTGTCCAGGATGACGTGAAGCTACTAAGGACTCAAACGGATCGGAAACTAAAAAGACAAATACGGAATGTTAAGAGTGAGTGGAAGCACCGCTTGAAGAATGAGATAGTCCCATTGATATTGCCCGAACTGGTGTCTAAAGCGGTGAAAGAGCTTCAGAAAGAAAAGACGGCCACCGACATATCTAGTGCTAACCGTAAGGAATTTCAACACCTCAGGCAACGGATGCACATTCTGAAACATGAAGTCAGCGTCTTAAGGAAGGGTTTCGGCAAAGTGGTGGAACAGAATAACGTTCTGAAGGAAGAACTACAAAAGATGAACCGTCAGTTTGACTGTCAACCGAAGCAGTGTGTTACACCTAACAACGTTCTTCAAGACGACAGCCTATCTGTAACAGTTCCTACAAAGTTAACAACAAACGTCGCCAAGGAAATCATCGAAGCCAGTCAAAAATCTGCTACATTTACACCAGCTTCACCTGTTTCACCTCCTGCTATTTCATCTGAAATAGACAAGGTGGCCCGCCGTCTGCTTGTCGTGCCTTTTGCTTCCAGCTATTATCAACAACTTCAGACACTGAAAATTGGATACCATTGGAGCGAAAAGTACGATCCGTATCCTATAAACACTACACACGTATTGTCGGCAGCGTACGTAGCCTCTCGCCGGACATTACTGCTGTCAACATACGATCCGGATATGATTCTGTCGTACCCTTTGGACAGCAGCGCGAAGTCAGTCCTAAAGATGGGTGTGGCGAGCAGTGGGATGGCCATAGACGAAGGGAGGCAACTTGTGATTCACACAGACTGGCGCAAGAAGTCTGTCAACATTATACCCACATCTGGAAACGATTACGTCCCCCTGCTAAACCTGCACAGCAGTGGCGGACCTTTGAATGGCATCACAGTGGATGAAGAAAACATGTTGATATATGTGTGTGACAACGAGAAACTATATTCTTTAACATACATTGGGCTAAACTTTCGCGTTATTTTCAAAGCA